GTGGTATGTGCCCAGATTCACATGATCCTGGCGCGTCCAGGAGGTAGTTCGTGGTGGCAGAATGGAATGTGAACTCTTGTTTTTCCCTGGAGCTCTCATCTATAACCCTTGCAAGGCTAACAGTAGTCAGTAGGCGCATTTATAGCTGAACTGGCCGTTTATAGCTCATTTGTCAACTCCAGTTAAATATGCTTGGAAGTCGGGCGGAAAACAATCGAGGGCTAAATCGGAGATTTAGAGCAAATCAGCAGGACCCCAATTTAGCCTTATAACTAGGGCAGATTAGTTAATGCTACTTGCGGCAGAAATTTAGTTTTTTTTCTTCCAACGCAACCCCATCATCCGCCTGCACAATGCGCCCATCAAATCTGGCGCGTAGCGCAGCAATCAGAGGGCGGCCCTAATATGGTCTAGACCTACTTCTAGATCTTTTTAGAGATACGATTGCTGTTTAAGCCAAAATCACCTACCGCCGTCCAGGGCATGCGCTTCTGCCTGCCATGCAAAGTACCTCCTACCAACTTTCTTCACAGTAGCAACAAAATATGTTAGCCGCGTAGACAGAAGGAGGCCGCCGGAACAGCAGGTGTAGTAAAAACTACGATCACGCCCACAGAGAGGAGCTAATTTGTAAATCGGAGCAGTATATAGGCGCTTTCGAGTCATGTCAGAGTGTTTACAGTGAGCAGCCGAAAATGTTCGTTCCTGCTTCAGCATCGCCCCCTCCCTCCCCGGGAGAGTGAGTGTAGCGAAAAGAATGCATCAGTGTTGAAAAAGCTCAAGAAGTGCGATAAGGAGGAACTGAGTTTTTCCGAAGTAATCGGATTACCAACTTTGCAGCGCGCGCTGCCAGGCTGCTCAAATTTCGCAACCAACTCTGCTTTAAAATGTATGAATGCGATTCTATTTGTGTTCTGCTGAAACAACTGCGCGTGAATTAGACCGTCGGCTTCGACCGCGTGTCTACGGCGTGTCTACGGCGTGCTTCAGCAAGCTAGATGCAAAAACGCAGTGAA